TATATATATATATATATATATATATATATATATATATATATATATACGGAATGAATTACTAACAACTTCACTCAGACTATGTGTGCAACTTAGCCTTGATATATTTTATAGATAATATAGATGTATGTAAAAATTTAAATGCTTACTAGTAATGAAGTCGTGGAAGACGGGAATACAATGAATAGACGGATCACATAGGATACGGGATATGAAATGATGCAGATGATGCATGCTCTGAACGGTGTGTGAACCACGATCCACGTGCTACAAACGGAATTCTGAGCCTATTGCGTCTTCGTCGCGGACAGAGAAAGGCCCAACATCGACTTAACCATCGCTTCATCAACCTCGACTTCCTGTCATAATTCATATGTACTGACTCAATTATGAAATCAATGATATTAATAACAAAAGTAATAGATTCTCTTTCTCCCTCAGGAACCCTTTGGTGAATTAATTAGCACGTAAGCTAGCACACAAATGTTATATTGATAAAATTATTAGTCACGCATAATAATTAGAAATTGGTATGATTACATACATGCACACCTAAATATATATATTTGGCAACGGCAAGAAAACTCGGCGGGGGAGCATTTTAGAGAAAAATGTTTCGAATAAAAGTTGTAAGGTTTAAAAAGTCGCATTTAATGACAGTAGTTATTTGACCTAAGATGACGTCGCCAAGGTCAGGACAAGGTCAACTTTGCTTTTTTAAATATAAATACATATTTTTTATTACGGGATTTTATTTTACGTAAAAAAGCAAATAACTTTTGCTTGAAAAAATTTTTTATACGACCTCTATTTTCTAAGATATTTACGTAAATATCTCCAAAATTATTGGTTTCAATAATTTTTTACTTGAATTCTATTAACTTTACCGAAAAATATTAAGAGATAAAAATTGCTTATTTTGTTTTCAAAGAGCTCTGAGAATTTTTTCAGAATTTTGTGTTAACTTTTTAGTACTTCAAGAAAATGCAAGAAAATGCAGTACTAAAAAATTAATATAAAATTCTGAAAAAATTCTCAGAGCTCTATGAGAACAAAATAAATAATTTTTATCTCTTGATATTTTTCGGTAAAGTTGATAGAATTCAAGTAAAAAATTATTGAAACCAATAATTTTGTAGATATTTACGTAAATATCTTAGAAAATAGAGGTCGTATAAAAAATTTTTTCAAACAAAAGTTGTTTGCTTTTTCACGTATAATAAAATGCCGTAATAAAAAAATATGTATTTCTATCTAAAAAAGCAAAGTTGATTTTGTCCTGACCTTGGCGACGTCATCTTAGGTCAAATAACTACTGTCATTAAATGCGACTTTTTAAGCCTTACAACTTTTATTCGAAACATTTTTCTCTAAAATGCTCCCCCGCCGAGTTTTCTTACCGTTGCCGAACTTATGGAACACACTGTATGTATGTGTATATATATATATATATATATATATATATATATATATATATATATATGTATATATATATATATATATATATATATATATATATATATATATATATACATACACACACACATACACACACACACACAGGGTGTCTCACACTTTCCTCCAGGCATTTTGTGAGGACGTAGAACAGATATACAGGG